GCACTCATGCCGGAGAACAAAGGGAGCAAACAGTGCCCAGTAGCATCCTTCATCAAACTGCCCAAGATTGTGGCAGAAACCCAAACCCAACTTATCAAATGAAGACTTAGTCTGGTACCACAATATTGCGGTCGGTGTAAACACCATGAGAAAATTCATGCCAAGACTGAGCATTAAATATGGACTTTTAACCATCTACAGAAACCACTCCATCCGGGTAACAGGAGCAACGATTCTCTCCCAGCGGCGATTCTGGAATAAAATGTCTGTCACTAGACACAAATGTGTATCGTCTCTGGCGATTTACCAACGGGTGTCTGACGATGAGAATCTACAAATGGGGAGAGCACTCTCTGTCAGCCTTGGCACCAGTGTTGAAACAACTCATCACGACGCACTAGCAACTTCGCACCACCCATCCACCCCATCACGACCAACGTCAGTCAGAGATATCAACTTCAGACTCAGCCCATCATTCAGAGATCTAGGCATATCGCTGGAGTCTCCCAAGAGCAGTCGCCCACCGGTATATCATGGTATACCGTTATTCCATTTAACTGTAAATGTGTACAAAACAAAGCAGTAAAACTCTCTGAATACCCTCGTTTTGGCATAAAATATCACTCTATAAAGTATGCTATTATGTAAAACTGCCTTTCTCCAGGTATCAAGTTAACATCTACAGTTGACATTGATAGTGTTAAAAACTTAGATATAGTGTTGAAAATGTGAATACATTGAATTTGAGAATGTTCACTTGATTAAAGAATGAATCAATTAATGCTCTCTGAACACCTTCACTTTGGCATAAAATAAAAAACAAGTGTAAAACTGCCAAGTTCTTTCGAAACGGAATATCAAAGTTAAAATCTACAGTTGTCATTGATACTGATGAAAATGCGGATACGTAAATCCACCTCTCGGTACACAGAAAGCGACGGTAAATAGTGCTTTATTATACCTACTTCTTGGTCTACATACGATTTGCAGCCTGTCTTACAGGTTTACAGGTTGTACTCTTTTACAGGTTGTGTCATTGTTTGGTCATTTCTATTTCGTTGACTATGTTTTTTTTTACCGTTTAGTAGTGTTTAAGTACGAAGCCTTGACGTTACGTTTTTTTGTTTGTTTGTTTTTTGGTTTTTTCTTTTAGGTAAGATTAGAAAGAATGGCGTCGTGTAGTGTAGGGCCTGGTTTCTATAAGGGAACAAAATCCACTTTAAAACTGTTGGACCTACCAAACTAGTTGGCGACATTCTCAATAAACAGGTATGTCATAGATAGAGGGCAGGGTTTTGATTTTTTTTAATGGAAATTTGGGGGTAAAATGACGATGACAGCGCGGCGACAACACGAGACCCAAAAATAAAGATGGCGATCACCGCGCGATGTACCGTGAGCACGCACGGCGTGCTGAATCGCAGGGCACAAACCGCGCAGGAAAATCGTGATTTCTACCCCAAGAATCTGTTCAAAATTGCAAAACGGGTGTCATTATAATTGAGAAAAGTCTGCTTTTGATTGTAAAGTTGATTTTTGAGCAATAAAAAAAAAAAAATTTGACTCTAATTTGAACAAAACAAAACAGGGGCCCTACACTTCACGATCGCCGAAAGAATAGACATGTTAGAACATGGAGGAAGGGTATGTGTTGCAGCTGCGCTGCATGCCTTGCTTGAGGGCGCGCTTCAGTTTCGTGCATTCGCTTGAGGGCGCACTTTCTGCCGTGACCGCGCGGCTGACTCCACCGCTAAAAGTGATTTTCAGGGTTCAAAACCAGCATTTTCATACACAAATAGGGGTTCAGAGATACTCGGTTGGGTAAGTGATTATTCCGTAAATTGTTATTTGACTGAGGGATATAGATTTGGGGGCGAAAATGTACTTAGTGGGAAAATATTGGGACTTTTTGATGGGCTTTCCGGCATGTTTTGATACAGTCTGTTATTATACAAGTTATTGTAGGGACATGGACTCATCTGATGGCCGTTATTACCTGGTTCTCATTTGTATATGTGTGTTGTTTCACCTTACCAATAAGCTAGTTTAGGGATGATAATTATGGAAATTACTCCTGATGACCTCATTGTTTATTCTTCCTATATTTCCCTTTCTAATTAAAGCTCACATTAAAAGGGAGGGATAATCACCGAAGCTGTTCGAGGTGTTATCGGGAGGGTGTTTTACTGTTTGTACAACTGTTGTTCAACTGTCTTGGCTGTACAACTGTAACCAGATCATCCAGTGTATCCAGTGTAAGCAGATCATCCAGTAAACTATACTGCTAATAACTCATCTCCGTGCCCACTGGTGCCCATATACCTGTACACTGAATTGTTTTTGTGCTGGAAAATAAAAGATTGAAGTAAGTAACCATACACATTGGATTGAGTCTACAGTATGGTTAGAACTAGAAGCAGTTTAGTGTTGTTAATTTTAATTGTTATGATTGATGAAGACTAAATCATCATAATGGGTCACATAAGCCTTTGGCTTTAGTTCAATCCTCCATTTAAAGCAAGAGATTTCCTGACAATACATTCCAAGCTACACCCTAACGTTAGACATTTATACTTTGTAGATCATCATGATCATGTACAATAATTTCTACAAAACTTAATACTCAAAGAGTTCTACCTATATCGCACTGAATGCTGTTGACATTTAATTATTTTAATTGTAGGGAGCCAGACAGTCCTATCATGGTAGCAGTTGGAAATTGTGTTACAGCTGCAACTTCACTGCGACTTCATACTTCATACTAAAGGGTAGTTTTCATTGAGTATGACACATTCCACATGTCAGTGTGTTGAATCTTTCACTTATTACACATTGAGCTGCCTATGGTGCCTGTGATGATAAATTTATCTAGCTAAACGGTTCTCCTCAGGTATTTCCTTCAACACATGTGCAAACAAAGGTTGCTGGTTAATAGAAATACATTGTGGGTTGCATGTCGATGAAAGGGTGCAAACCTGCGAGACTGGTTCCCTAACCTTACAATTCCGAGATTTTTTAAAATTGCTCCATTTCATCTTAGGTTGAGTCAGGAGACCAGACTATTTTTAAACCAAGCAAAACAACAATGTTCCCATAGTATAGGAACAGTGCTGTTTTGCTTGTTTTTTTTTCCAGATATCTTGAACACAAAACTTGAAACAAAACATTGTAACAATCTTTTTTTCTATATACTAGCCCCCAAATCATCCATTTATGAAAATTACAGGAGAATGTTGTACACTTCCTTATATATCATAAATTATATACTATTGTAACTAATGATGAAGAAATGTTCAGTTTCAGAGGAAGGAGAGAAAACCCCAGAATAATATTTATGGATGAAATTCACAGAATCAGGTAGGGACCTAAAGTCCAATCCACATTACCTTAATCAATTCCATAGTTATGGAGCAGGCAGCAAGCAAGAATTTCGGCGAGTTAGTTGAATAATATATTTTTATGAGTGAAGTTGTGCCTCTTCGATTTTGGTATTGCAACCCCCTTGACACTGTATATAAATTCTACCAGTACCCATGCCACTCGCCCCCCCCCCCCCACAAATAAAAATAAATGCCATTTTTTCAACAAGCTATACCCCCCAATAATTTTTCTGAACAAGTGCCCTTTTCCAAAAAGACATGGTGCCCGTTTTTGTGGCATCTGCCGTTTTGAGTGCCTTTTTCAGAATTTCGCACATGTATCGCCCTGAAAAGCGCCATATATTGGCCCATTGTGTGCATAATTGTCGGTTTTGAACAGCGCCCGCATCGACACATGGTAACCCCCCCCCCCCGAGCCAGTTTTTGACTCTTCACTAAACTTTTATTATTCTTTGTCAGATTGCCTAATTATGAAGATCTGAGTTTTTAGAAAGCATAGTACTCTAATTTAGTTAATCTCTAGTTCGTTTCGCCTTGTGATCTCTAGTTTTTTTCGCCTAGTGAACTGGAGTAAACTGTCAAGTATTTCGATCACTGAGCACTCTATCAATTTTAATTGACTTGTTTGACTACGTAAAGATAATTCTAAGAGGGTCTGTCTAATGTTGTACATTGCCTGAAACTTTGATTGTGTTCACTTTTAGCACTTGAGTTTCCTTCCATTTTATAGGAGTTTCTTTATTTCTTTTTTATTTAAACTACGTTCTTAAGAATACTTTTAGACAATCATAAATAACTTGACAAAAGTGTTATGGCCAAACATGTATTTTACCGTTTAGAAATTTACTTCATGTAAATTCATTTGTTCTTAACCTTTCTTGCTTTGTTCTTTTTATAGGTTGTTAATGCTGGATTGTGGTATTTTTGTTACTTTTTCTTGGACACTGTACGAGTTGGCTTGAACTTCCGTAAAATTTGTACCAATTGTTGGTTATTTTCTGTCTCGGACTGTTTCTAGCGATAGGAAGTGTTTTGATTTCAAAGATTCTGGTTTAAGGTCCCTTGGTTATTCTCATTGGTGGTCACAATCGCTCTGCTATGATTTCTTTAATTTACAGATTCATATCCTTACGGAGTTACGGTCTTGAATTTCGAAAGTCGTTTTAAATTTAACAATAGTCTTAAACTGAGTATTTTGCAAGGTTGATTTGTTTTCCATAAGTCTTTACTTTTTTGTTTTGCAATTCTCACTGAAAGTAATTGCTAACTTCAAATAAATTTTTCTTTGGCTAGTTTCTGAGAAATAGAATTTGTTTTCCCTGTCTTTGTTCTTAAATTAACCTGCGTTTGCTCCTCACCATTTCCTTGTATAAACTGAATTTTGGGTTAGAATTATTTCAGTCCGCTAGTTCCCCATGGTGTTGATTTTTCAGGTTACATACAAATGTCACAAATGCCATTTTTCAAAACAAATTTAAGGGTAGGTCTGATTGTCTTGAAACTTAACGAGTAGGTATAGATACTGTTACTTATATGTAAAAATTGAAATTACGGAGAAATAGAACAGCTTAATAAATCATGGAACTGTGCTCAAAACATGAAAGCATAAACTCATAAAAATGTAATGCTGAAGATCCCTATTATGTTCTGCTATTTCAGTTATTTTTTACCTAAATCTTTGACCTTTCAAGTGTACATATAGTTGTTTCAAAATTGGATGGGGCATGTCCTTTGCACGTTTACAAACTATACAAACTTGATGAACAATTAGTTCATCACTTATTTATTTAAAATAAATGTGCATGAGATGTAATAATACCAAACCTAATCTTCCTTTGCACAGTACTTTAACAACACCTGCTGTATGCCACATTTAGCATGTTCCCTGGCGATTGGAGATGGTTTTCTCAATGAGGCAGCGATAGGTTGGGCGAAATATTCTTCCCCATCTGCTGGCTTGGGATCAGGGGTGGTGAGGACTCTCAATTCTTCTTCCATTATTGTTTGCCTTGCACTTACAGATGGGCCAGACTTCCTTTTTCTTGGAGGTGATTGAGCTATGGAGCTAGTCTCTGTCAAGTCCTCAGACCGGGCTGTGGCTTGACGAGTCTGAAAGAGAATGTACACATACTGGATGAAATTATATTAGAGCAGTGTTGTAGTCGAATGCATGCTTTGTCATGAGCACGAGTATCAGTAAGCTACAGTACTTTGCCATGAATACAAAAACGAGTATTGGGCAAAAATTTTCTACGAGCACGAGATCTTTGCCATGAGTATGGGAACGAGTACAGGGAATTTTTTCTTGCGAGTTCGAGACTCGAATACGAGTACATTTCCATGAGTACGAGTTTGAGTACAAGTGCAGAAAAAAGTACTCAAGTACGAGTATTACAACACTGGTGAAGAGCGAGCTACAGTGTGGTGTTTTGTCAAAAAAATTTGCACAAGTCAAGAATAAATCAGTCTGCTCCAAGTGAATAAAAAAAAACATGATTACTCACTCTCACGTTTTGAGATTAAAATTAATTGACAGATTTAAAATAGGAACACATTTGTTTACAATGAATGTACCTGTGGTTCAAGCGAGTCTTTGCTTGGGCCAGCTTTCATCGATTCTTTTAGAAACGACATTTCCTTGAAATGGCTCCACCTTGACTGATACACATCATCAACTCCTGTCCCAGATTTTTTACTGTCTTCCACTTTTTTCACTTCTCTGCCATAAGTAGTTCTCAGATTTTTGAACTTCTCCTTTGCATCTTTGACTGCAAAAATGCTGTTAAAGAGCTTAATTGTGTATTTGTTTCCTTATGTTTCATTTTTACTTTCAGGAAAAGAAATCTTGCCTTGCATTTTAAAGAGCAATTTATTTTGAATGGGGTCAAGGCTGACTTTGGGGACAAATGTTGCCACCAACCTTCAAGGAGGATCCAAGGGCTCTCGCAGTGTACTCAAGTTGGTCTAACTAGTTTGGTAGCCAACTCTTCTGAAGCAGACTCGAACAACAACAACTGAACCAATATCTGCTGTTTGTTCTCGTAATCTAGCATCTCTGGTTGCATATTGTTTATGTGAACCACAATGAGACCATGCCAGCAGCCTGTCTAGATCTACCGCAACAAAATCTCAGCAGATATTCCATCGCATGAACATTATGTTCTCCAATCTGCTCCATCTGATGACGGAAATTGTTTTCGTCATCTTGTAGCAATTTCACCAGGTGACATGCTGCATAGTATTCTTGGAGAGACTTGTAGGGGAAAGTGACCAACACTTCTTACATCCACACCACTTGTGAATGATTCACGTTGAACGAAACCCACATGACTACCCTTAACTAAGGAAGACTCACATTTCTAAAATTCAGTTTCATCACACAGGAGTCTTTCCCCTCTACAGTCTAGTAGCTGCTGCTGATCACGCATATCTTCATTGCGGCGAATAAAAACATTCTCTGCAAACTTTCCGAATAGTTCCGAAATGATTGGAACTACAGCCATTTCCTGGAGATTCGCATTGACTTTTAGATGTGAAATCAATGCCTCTCCCATGTCATCATCAGGAAGGTTTAATCTGATGTACTTATCTCTGTCTTGTGGTGTGAAGCCCAAAGTATGAACTGGAGCGTAAGTTGGGTGACCTCCCAATACATAATTCACCACGTGTGGTCGAGTAGTTACCAACACAAAACTTTTTAAGGACTTTGTTGTGTAAGATATCCTCAACCCTGTACACGCCCTCCTTAGATTGCAAAACGTGAGACGGAATTTCATCTAATCCGTCCAACAGCAAAGCAATGCGTGATTCATGATCATCAATGAACCCTTTCACCATGTCTTTTTTATTTTGGTGTTTCGTGCTAGAATTTGGTCAAATATGTCATCCAAGACACAGCTAGATTGCTGCATTTGCCCCAGCTTTATCCAAAGCACAAGATCAAATCTACCAAGAAGGGGTTTTGAATCAATTGTGATGCAGGAGTTTACAACTTTCGCTAACCAGGTTGATTTACCAATCGTCTCATGCATTTAAAATTGGTTTTGACCTTTTGACAATGTGTGTATTCCCCAGACGTTGTGACAGTCTCTATAGCCAACATGAACATGATTAACTTCACGCAAACCCGTACACATGCACTTTTTATAGTGGGCAATTTTTTTTTTCTTTTTGGTCAAAGTTCAAACTGTGGAAAATAGAAATTATTTGGAACTTAAAAAAAGAAAACTAATTTACTGCATTAAGTTGAATTACATAACGGGGTCGGGATGAGCCAGCTCTCACAAGGGTGGATCCAGAACAAATTTTTGTTTGGGGGGGGGGGGGGAACAAAAATTGCCAAAAAATGCCAAGAAAACACCGATGGAGAAAGAACACTTTTGCAAGTTAATTCAGAAAACTTGATCTCTCTTGTCAGAGTCTGTACATTAGTATTTTCCGTTTTTCAGAGTTTATTTTGAGATCGCACTACGCGTCGTATTTGGACTGATACGATTGCAGCGTGTTTTCCCGAAATTTTGTATCGTAAAAACGAGGTCTGCCGCCCGCCATACATTATGCACTAATTGCATGCATCACGCACGGAGTTTTGGCCTGTTTCCCGTGCATATGGTGCGCACGACCTGAATTTTCCATTATTTTTTAATAAGTGTCGAACGTAAATATATTTATTAAGGTAGGTTTTATTCACTTTTTGTGGCCATTTGTTTTGTATACCTTTCGTAGTGCAACGAAAATAGTTCATGCTAAAACTTCGCGTATAATTTAATACCCCATTCAATTTGCATTAAAAAATGGCATATAATTGGAAACATGTAATTTGTTGGCATAGTCTTCTGACTTTGTAGGCCTAGCCTATGTTTGACCATAAATGCTTTTTTGGTTTTTTTTCACCGAGTTTCAGGTGTGTGGGGGTTGTTTATTACTAGTGCTTGCACTTTTCCCACTCTACCTGATTCGCTTTGGTTAGTCATAATAATAATAATAAATTATTTCAATGTATTTTAATTCTATTTAACCAGTTAATTAAATGGTTAAACATGAAATTACTTCTTCTTTTTTGTGTCCCCCCCAAAAAAAAAAATTAAAAAAAGGAAACAACAATCAACAGACATTGAATTCTTATCTCTCTTGGACTATGTGTGGCTCTGAAAAGAGCCGGGTTGTGAGAGAACAAGTTGGTTGACGTCTAACAACCTGAGGCGCGTCCCCCTCTCTCTATGACTTTCGGGAGGACCTTTTGGAGATGGCCGATGTACTTCTTACACTTCTCGACTGTGACCTTTGGAACCCAGAAGCCTCTGATGCCTTGAACCAGTTGTTCCTTTGTAGCGGGCTTGACTTTCTTTCTCAGGTGGTTTTTCAGCTCTGCCCACAGGCTTTCAATAGGGTTGAGATCTGGACTTTCTGCTGGAAATGGCATCCAGTTGATTCCCAACTCCTTCATTACCCCTTGCGTTAGTGCGCTTTTGTGGGTGGGACAGTTATCCTGTTGGAAGCGGTGACCGTCAGGAATTTTTTTGTCAACGAATGGCTTTAGATAGTTGCGCAATAATTCATTCGCATAGAAATTGGAAGCCATGATACCGTCAAAAATGGCGATGCCAGTAGATCCTCGCTTTGAGATGCCTGCCCGTACGGTAGCATTTTTTTGCATGGCGTTCGATCTGAACGCTACATTCGTCCGAGAAAATAACATTCTCGAATGTCTCATGCTCTTCCCGACACTTGCCAATCGGATGGGCCGATTTGCATCTCTTATGAGTTGGCAGTACTTGGTGTTAGTGTGAACCCACTGCAGTTTCTTAATTGTGCGCCTAATTGTTGACTCGGCAAGATTTGAGCCGGTTTTGTCAAGGATTACACGCTTTAAATCTAGTGCACTTAGCTCATTGTCGCGCTCAAGGTTTTCATCAATTAGATCGCGCATTCGGTCTTTAATTTTACTGTGGCGTCCCGACTTTGGCTTATCAGTAATGACCCCATCCTCGCGCAGCTTGCGAAGGAACTTGGTGATGCCACTTAGAGAAACAAGGACACCGTCGATGGCTAGTGTTTCTTGAACAGCTCGTCTGGTAAAGCCTCTTGAATCTAACTGTGCGATTCTCCGACGCATGCAAGAATTGAAGCGAGTCATAGCTGAATATCTGTTGCAAGCAACGTGGCGGAACTTTCCAAAATTCACCCTTTATATAGACAAATGCCCGCGCATTTTATTTAAATTGTTCGCGAATAATTAATTCTGCTAACATCTGCTTAAAGTTTTCTTGCACTGATTTTCAAGGCCTTCGCGATCGTTTCGCCATGGATTCGCGAGCGGCCGGTTTCGCGTGCAAATTCCGGCTTCGCGAAGGCCAGTTTCAGTTTCACGAGATTGTCAATTCATCTGGTTGATTCGATGGCGGACGGCCGGCTGGCCGTGGGCCGCGCCGTGCCGCGGGACGGCCGGCCGTAAGAGCTGATCAATCGTCAGCTGTTTGTGTCAGTTTTTTCAACAAAAACGGCATACAACCTGCCTATCTACGAAGTTCAGGCTTTCGTTAACACGCTGGTACAAAAAGTAATAATGTCGGGACTTGCGCTCCTTGCTGAAAGCATTTTAGGCCTAAAGGGCGAAACTGAAAAAGAAATGTAAAGGTTAACGCATTAGACATCTTGCGTACGTATGTTTCCCGTTGTGCGATGCGGTATTTCTGCCGTGTCCCCCGCGTCACGCACGGTGCGTGCGATGGACGGTGCTGGGTGGTGCGGCCGTCACTGTCTAGGCGCATGGAGGTTTTTGCTCGGACGGTGCGCGATGGTCTTGAAAAGAAATAACAACTTTTGTGTTGTGAAGAACAAATATTGTGTTACACTAATTACAGTTACTATTGCTATTGAAGATTAGGATTACAATGTACATGTAGATGACATTGGCTGCAGTATATAACTTGTCAAAAGAGTAGGGGCTGTCAGAATAGGCTAGGACAGGTAGGGTAACCAGAAGCAGAAATATTTTTTAGTTTTTTGGCTTTCAGACTATTGGAAGGGGGGGGGGGCTCAGTTGATTCATCGAGGATAATTTTTTTCTGGTGGATTTAATAAAATACTCCCTGGGTTGTTTTTTTTTGGGGGGGGGGGGTTGGTATAGTGGGGGGCTAAGATAATACACATACCTTTATTGTTAAATTATTGTGAGACAATCACAATTTTTTTCCCATATTTTCTTTTATTTAACGTTATGCGTAGAAATCCAAACAATCACAATAGTCAAGTTCATTAAGAAGGAGTCACCATCAGTCAATCATGTTATTATATGCGTAGAAATCCAAACAATCACATTAGTCACCTGACTGATTACGACTAAAAAGACAACTTGGCTCAGAATGAATTTTAAGGAGCCTGGTTTTAATTCATTGCAATTTTACAGAGCCAATTTGTTGTAAATACAGTTTGGCTGCAATAATTTTTTTTTAAATATCAACAATGGAAAATGCAGTTTTAAAACTTCCATTAAAGGTAATTTAAAACCTTTGCATAAATCATGAAAACGTACAGCTGAAGAGTCAGAGTTATTTAAACAAGAGGAAGAGTGGATTAACGTTTGTGTCAAGTTTAACTGACATTTTTTGATAATTCATTATTGTTCCTCTTTTAACCAAAATTTAAATGTATGTGAATTATATGTTTTTCTATTTATTTGGTACCTATTCATTTGTTTCAATTATTTTGGTTTTTGTTTTAGAACACTTGACATATGACAAGGAACTCAATACAGGGGACCACTTTGCATCCGTCAGGTTAGCAGTTCTTTCTTCCTTGTTAATTTGTAAAATTCACCCTCAAATTTCCTTCCAAAATGGTCAGAAAAAATTTAATACACTATACTTATCTTTTCTGTCTACTATTTGATGGAAATTTTCAAAGTTGACATCACATCTGAATTGTCTCCCCCAAGACAATTTGTTGTGAGAAGGGAAGTAATGAAGTGTCCAAGATTTTAATTTAAAGTGCTGCCCTCTCCACCCACCCGCCACCTATTGATTTTCTGAGACCAAAGTGTCCGTAGAAAAAAAAAGGTGTACATTTCAACACGGCTCACTGCAAAAAATTCTGGATCCACCCATGCTAGCACCCCTCCCCCATAAAATATAGGCTCTAGAACTGCACCTGCCCCTACCCTATTTTATTATACAAAAAATAGGGGGGGGGAACCAAATCATCAATTTCTACCTTTAACTCTTGACTTCACATGCAGATGCCGCCATGTGATTGTACACACAAAAATTAAAACAAAATTACCTATTTTTGAATGGCATGTAATCGAAAAGCATATAAGGCCCCCCAAAAAGACTGGTTTCTGGTATGGAGCTTGCCCCAAAAAGTGGTGCGGCGATGCGGCTTATTTTTTCATGTTTTTTTTTTTGCTTCAAATGTCGGCTGATGACTGCAAATGGTGCCCGACTAAACTTATTGCAAATATATGGGAGTCCAGAGAGTTCACCTAAAGCTTATTCTCGATCAAAACCCCATATAAAAATATGTTAAAATTGTGCAGCAGCGGGATTCCAGTCAAACCAGTGAGTTTGGCAGTTTTGAGAAAAAAATTCAAAAAATTCATTTTGCTGACGCGCATGGCTGTAGCGACACGCGCGCATACCAGAAACCAGAGACTTATTTTTTTGGCCTAACTACTTTTGGGGGGCCTGACCAAAAGGGTGTGATGTTATTTCAGGGAAGAAACCTAGAAGTTACGCTATTTTCAAAAAAAGGATTCACAGATAGTTTTCAAGTTAAGAGAACTAGAAAGTTGCACAAAATATGTGCCTAATTACATTTCATGTTACATGTATGGGTCCTTTCAATGTTTCCCATCACGTGCTTTTTAAGCAGGGCTCTGCAAGCTGCATCAATATTGCTTTGCAGCATATCTTCCACTCTGCGTCTTTGTCATCCTCGGCTATCTCCACAACCTGAAAGTAGGCCTTCCTGATCTCTGCCATTTTTCTTTCATCTAATTTCCCATGTTGAGCCCCTGCACCCCCCCCCCTTCCTTTGCCCCTCTAAAATGTACGATTATACATCATTTCTTCTGTAAAACGCTGCTTCACCATGTTTACCGAAAAATTGCAATTCGAACAACTTCTGTTGAGCAGTGGAGCCATTTGATCAACAATGATGTCATCGTCATTGATTTGGTCCGCTTGATGCCTCTGCTGTTGTGCCCAGTGTGTAGGGTCTATGCGCACTGGCTTCATCAGCCTTTCCATCCGGCTAATACGAGCCTTTAGACGCATGACCTCTGAATTTGTGTTTCGGCCTAAGAAAAGAATTCTTTGAAGCATATTGTCATTCCCCTCCCCATCACCGTTCCCTACCGCCCCGCCATTCCTCTCCCCGTCGTCATTCCCCTCCCCATCATCGTTCCCTACCGCATTTCCATTCCTCTCCCCATCATCATTCCCTCCCCATCATCATTCCCTACCACATCGTCACCACATCAGCACCTCTAACAATCCCGTCAACCACCCTCAACTCTGGAAATATCCCCTGAAACATAACATCAAATTCATCGCCTAACTGAATAACATTCACCATGCCTTTATCATCACCATCAAAACCGTCACCACCAACATCATAGATACCAACATCACCTACATGTACATCCTCACCATCGTCACCATCAACTCCAACATCCCCACCATCAACTCCAACATATCCACCATCGTCACCATCAACTCCAACATCCCCACCATCGTCACTATCAAATCCAACATCCCCACCATCGTCGCCATCAACTCCAACATCCCCACCATCGTCACCATCAACTCCAACATTCCCATCATCGTCACCATCAACTCCAACATCCCCATCATCGTCACCATCAACTCCAACGTCCCCACTATCGTCACCATCAACACTGTCTTCATCTTCGTTTGGAAAAAATTTTGGGCGCCTTGTCTTTTGTCTTGTCTTTCAAAAGCCTTGTCTTTCACCTTCTTCTCTTTCTATGAGGGATGGCTGAAAAACAAATGCTATGGGGGATGGCTGAAAAAGAATGGGAAAAAAAACATGAAAAAAAAAAACACGAAAACAAAGGCTGTTTCGGCAAAAGTGCCGAAACAGCCAATAAAACAATTGCAATCGATACTGACGGCTCAACAGCCAATTGAAGCAACAAGAAAAACAGCGAATTAAAGCAGCAAGAAACAATTACAACGATGGCTCAACATTGAACTCTAAATCAACTTGCTATAAAACTGACGAACCCAACAAATAAAATCAGTGGAAATAGAACAATCGACACTGACGGTTCAACATGTGATCATCCTAATGTCATTGACGCGATGTAGTCAGCAAAACAATTATAAGGTGACGCATCGAATTTGAAACTTTAAAAATTTGAACACACTTCAAAATAACATAATTAAAGATTCACGTCTACATTCATGAATTTTCTTTTGGGCAAGAAACATGATGCCTCAACATATCAATATATTGTTAGTATCAAAGTCGTTAAGAATGCTTGTATATGACTATAACAATACACACATCCTGTGAGCTGTGATTTGGTTTTGGATTTGTAGCAGGAAAGCAATCTGATTCGTAAACCTTGTAAGTTTTAAAACCAAACTCAAAAACGCAAAAACAATATACAAATGATCACAAACCACTGGAAGTTGTCTTCTCTCGGTGAGGTGTATCATTCTCTAGAAGAAAATATCTTACTGTTGGATATACCAAAAATAAATAAGTATACAAAACAAGTCATGTGCTCTATTCAGTGTCTCATATGCAAATATTTCGGAAGTTCCACAACAGGAAAGTTCCTGAAACACACCCAATTTGATTATTGACTCGGAAAGCACAGCAACTGAGTTCATGTCTCGTCAATCAATTACTGTTTTAAATTGCACGTACGTCCGTCCACGTCTTCAGTGGCACAGCCCTTTTGGACAGAGTTTCTCCTGAAGTTTTTAGCACTTCAGAAGCATCTTGACTGGTAATTTTCAAGTACTGTCTGCTTGGATTAAAGCATTGTGCTCTACACACACCACAAGAAATTGGGGCCGAAGCGAATTGTCCGTCTGCTGAACGTCTATCACCAAAATATGAAGGACGTAAATAGAGCGTACGAAAATACCGTACGTGTGTGTCGAATACCTGAACAGGTAGGTAAGTGTAAAAAAGTGTTAACAGAAGTGAGAAATAGAAAAGCCAACGTCGTTATCATTGCGAACGTTTCTGAGGGAATTCATTTCTGAGGGAATTCATTTTTCATAATTCATAGCACAAAATAGAAATTTCCCCAGTGGTTTGAAAAAAAAGTCACGACTTTGTAACATTTTCGGACACCTTGTTCACATGGGAATTCACATTTCACATTGTTTTCCCAAATTTCTCTGCCTATCCCCGCAGCCTTTTTTCAGCTTTTATGAAAATATGTTTGTTTTGATAGGGGTGTCTCATTTAAAATTTAGTCTAAAAACCTAATGAACAGCTGAGAATTTTTCAGCGGAGTGCAAAATAATATGTGCAAATTAACCAGACAAATGTGTCGTTTCAATTCAATCTTAAATAACGGTCTCTGCAAAATCTCCAACTCGCTCTAACCACAGTGCGAATGTATTCATATTTAGACAAAAGATATGCATGATCTCTAATTCTTTAAAAACAATTGTTAAAAAAATATTATAGGGCATGTTTCGGAAAATTTGGCAAGTTTGCTCTAAGTTGTGTAATTTACTGCATGCAAACCACCTCAGAACCCTAACATGAACGGAAGGACCTTAGGTGCATTCAGTGTAAGAGTTAGTACTTGAGTATTAGCAATGTACATACATGCATGGGATTCTCATGTTTTTTGGCTCCAGCCTTGTTGATCTGTGCCTGTATCTATATTCAGAAATTCAAGTTCAGGTTATTAAAATGGGAACTTTTATAAATACATGTAAGATAGTTACTTAGCACTGTTAATATTTATTTTGAGAATCTTTTCTTTGTCTCTGGAAACATGCCAAAGTAATAACGTCTGACACAGAAAAAGCATTATTGAATTATTGAATGTCAGCCGAAGTTGGTTGATTTTTCATTTTTGTCCAATCTCACCCCTGTCAGATTCGAACCAGCCAATTTATCCCGAGTGGTAAGACGTCTACGTCTAACACTAGAAAGCAGGAGGTTGTGGGTTCGACTCCCACCAGAGTGATTTTTCCAACTTTCACTCGGGAGGTAGCATAATTTGATTAAACAACAAGGTCAAAAGCTACTTATTTAAATATCTGGTTGTTGATGATTGAGAGTTCGAATGTTTGGCATGTTGGGAAAAGCCCTACATGTACATGTACTTGTGGAAAAGCAGAAGACATGGTAGATCATGTGTAGGCCTACATACATGAATTCATGGTAAAACCCCAGACCTTAGTATCTGAGACAGAGACTTCAAAAATAATACTCGAGGCTGTCTTGAGACAGAACTGATTTGGATAGATTACAACAAATAATGTTCTTTACTATTTTGCCAATTATAGTGTATTTCTGGCTCACATTACCTTCTTCATGGAGGTGGAGCTGCAACAAGCCACCGAGGTTGCAGCAGCTGTACTTGGTGCCTGTACATGTAAGTCAAATTATACATTTATCCAGAATTGGTAACTTAAAATTATGAAAAAATTAAATGATCTTGTCCAACCACACATCTTTGTTCCCTTCCCATTTGCACTTCGAAACACCCCACACTCCCCTCTCTGTTTGCACCTCCCGTCCTTCAAATCACTCTTGTGTTTTCTCTTCCAACCCTGCATGCATGTGTGTCAATTACATATTCCTCTGCCTCTAGTTAAGTTGTAGAGGATGAAATTATAGGCCATTGAATGTTTATCCGCCTGGCTGTTAGACTTGGTGCCAAGTCGGCTATTGTTCACGTACGTATGGTACCTGGTTCCATGCACGCAAAATAGCACTGCAATGCGCGCAACCTGGTTCCTAGACCAAATGATGCTGTCTATTGATGTCCAATAACCGAATTGGCGAAAACGTTTTCGATTTTGTACGTGCGAGCACTCTGTTTGGTCCAGATTCCAGCGTGCATTCTAGCGTATTCCTTCTGTGTGTATGTCTGTATACACTTGTTACCAGAGAAGGCATCGGTACAAACTTCTGTGCAGCATGCACGTATTTTGTGCCTCAAACGAAATCGTCGGATCGGACATACATAAGTACAAGCAAACAATGTTTTCTTTCGGATAATGCCCTACTTTGTACATGTACATATGTAAGTGAAAATCTGGCTTATATTTACCCTTTTCAGCATGTTCAGGGAGGAGGAGCTGGAGCAAGCCATTGCATGGGCCTTCCACTTTGAGGTTGAACTTGGTGCCTGTACAGGTGAGTGAAATTACAGATTTATTCAGAATACCTTGCACATTTCACCCATTCCCATTGGTAGAGAGCCCATCACAAGGCTGGTTATAAGCGGTCGATAAAGACCAGCTGGCTGGTCTTAAACGCTTTGCCAGTGTCACATGACATTTGGACTAAATAAATACAGCTGACTGCATGACACCTTTTTCATTTTTGTATTTCATTATAGACGAATCCGATAGACTATGCATAGAGGGGCGCCCTCATTCGACACGGACATTGTAGGGGGCCAGTGTCGCTTAGCAATCGCGGCGGGCGCCAAATATAAACAATTTTGTACAGCGGCAATTTCCAGTCTAGTTTTTATTAAGTGCGAACAAATACAAACACGCACGGTTGACTGTGAGTTCTGTATCTAATATAGTCGGTAAAACATCCCAGGGGAAACATCACACCAACTTAGAGAGGAGACAGTGAGAAGAAACTATAGTTTTAGAGGTTTATTTATTTATTTTTTATTTGTTGTTAACTTGTAAGTTGTAGGCCTAATCTTTAACGTGAGGGTAGGCCCCCCTAGTCCATTCAAGTTTAAAAAAACCTGCTTTCCAAAGGAGCCCTCACAAACATGACAAAGAGGTGAGAGGAAAAGCCCAGCCCAGAAGCTATTCTGGGAAAACCCATGGAATCAGGTAGGGACTGAAAACCCAATCCAGATATTGGCCGAGGCGGGATTCTAACCCTGGTCACAGCGGTGGAAGGCGAGGAAAGTACCGCTACGCCAACCTGGCTCCCCCATAGTTGAGCATAAGAATTCTGCAAAAAAAAACTATGGATGCGTGGAAGGACGACGTTCGTGACTGGCCAAAGCTGGAATTTCAAGGTAAAAAGCCACTGTTTACGTGGTGTTTTAGCATGTTTAGGCTAGGCCTAACGTTAACTTGCTTTTGGAAATCGGATGACTGTAATCACCGACATGAAACGATGATGAACTTTACAAGGCTTGGATCATTTTTAGGAAAGTGATTGATGTTGATGAAAAACAGTGTTGTGGGCAAATTCATTGCATCAAAAGGGAACAAATAATTAGTGTAGGCCTACAGCATTTATGCATTCATGGCATTCGGACAGTGCCGCTTAATAATATTACTAGTCCTATTACAGGAAAGATGTAGAAACAGTTTGGGATTCAACGGGTTTGTTGGGTTCAGGAATCGAAGCCGGTGTCAGTGGGGTGATCAGGCCAACTTAATACTCACTCTTTTGTCAGCAATTTCTCCAAAAATTCCATTGGGCAAAGAAAAGGTCCTCAGTATTTTACCAACCAAAATGGCAGACTCAATCCATGGTCTGACTGTGTCAATTTTTTACTGTCATATTTTTTGGGGGCTAGTATAATTCTAGTTTCACAAATTTGTAAGGAAAACATGTATGCCAAAGATTAAACAGGCATGCAGCTTTTCCAGGGTGACT